CCCCCCCCCCCCCCCACCCTCCCCAGCGAACAGATAAAAACTACTGGCAGCAATTTCTACTATGCCGAACGTTAGATACTTATTTTACAACGCTAATGAGGGCGTGAATCGATTTGAATCGCAAAAGCAAGCCACAATGTAACTGGATCATATGTCATGGGTTGAAATGACTTCATTGACATTCGATAATTGAGTTGCCAACTACTTCATTTCCCTTTGAAACAAATACAACCAAAAAGCACACATCCACATGGAAACTTTACCATTATGGGGTGTGCGATAGGCTTACCTCCACGTTGTGCACCCTGGGCAACGTATACTCATAGTCCGTAAACCGGCAGTTGACTTCTGACTTCAAACTACCATCACTTTAACTGGCAGTTGACTTCTGACTTCAAACCACCATGACCTCACTAAACTGGCAGTTGACTTCTGACTTCAAATTGCCATCACCCCAAAACCGGCAGTTGACTTCTGACTTCAAACTACCATGACCAGATCTATTAACTGGCAGTTGACTTCTCTATGTCATATTCGAAGTCTATAAACCGGCAGTTGACTTCAAACTATCGGCAAAAAAATTCTATTAACCGGCAGTTGACTTCTGACTTCAACGCAAAAAGGTCTATTAACTGGCAGTTGACTTCTCACTTCACAAAAAAGTCTATTAACCGGCAGTTGACTTCTGACTACTCAAACGGCAAAAAAGTCTATAAACCGGCAGTTGACTTCTGACTGAAAAGGTCTATTAACTGGCAGTTGACTTCTGACTTCAAATAAAAGTCTATCAATCGGCAGTTGACTTCTCACTTCAAACTAAAGTCTATTACCTGGCAGTTGACTTCAAACTACCATGAGTAAGTCTATTAACTGGCAGTTGACTTCTGAGTTCAAACTATCATGACCCCAAGTCTATTAATCGGCAGTTGACTTCTGACTTCAATTACCATGATCTATTAACTGGCAGTTGACTTCTCTATGTCATATTCGAAGTCTATAAACCGGCAGTTGACTTCAAACTATCGGCAAAAAAATTCTATTAACCGGCAGTTGACTTCTGACTTCAACGGCAAAGTCTATTAACTGGTAGTTGACTTCTCCGCATACGGCAAAAAAGTCTATTAACCGGCAGTTTTCTTCTCACTTCAAACTACCATGACCCCCCTATATGTCCTACATTCTCATACGGCAAAAAAGTCTATTAACCGGCATTTGACATGACTTCAAACTACAATCACCCCACTGTATGTCAAATTCGACTACTAAACTACCACAACCCCACTGTATGGCATATTCGACCACTTCCACAGTACTACATCACATCCTTTTCTAAATTTTCAACCTTCGGCTTTGAAACACCCTTCTGCCCCCCCCATCTTTTCACTTTGATGTTCATTTCTCTCTTTGAAGCCTGAAGTCAACTAAAGGGCTAATGATAACCATCAAAACGCCTGCCATTTGATATAAATAAATAAATAACTTTACCATTATTGCATATTGTTACCTTTCCCTTGGTAGCGGATGATAGCAATAAAAAAGAAAAATAATAAAGGCTTCAAAAAGAAAATGCTCAACTGAAGGAAACTAAGAAATCTCAAGCCTCGTCAAGCATGGAATGTCAGCCAACTTTTTATATCGGTCAGGCACAAACGAAAGAATTAAAACATAGCTACACACCGAAATAGAAGGCTTCGGCTCAAAATCAGATAATCTAGCACTCTTTAAAAAAATATGCCAAGTTTATAAATAATCAATTCAAATTTGTTAACTATTTTTTTCAGAACAACAATTATTGATGTTATACACCAAAAACATACATAAATAGTTTCAGGAAAAAAGTGCCTTTAATCGAAGAGAGCGTAGAAAACAGTTAATGTGCAACAACAAAAGACTAAATATTGGCCGAAAAAAAAACTCAGAAAATCTTATTCTAAATTTCAGAGACAAAAGACTAGACTGCCAATCCGAGTTACTTTATTTACACAATTTTCGGCATTGGTATGGTCCAGTGGGAGATTTAAGACACTCTATAATGAGGAAAGTAAAAAAGGCGATGAAACAAACACACATTTAATTTTACACTGCCAAAGGGAACAATGAAATTGAATTTATACGAAATAGCAATGAAAGATGAGTAAATTAAAGGGAAAAACGTTTAATGATTTTACTATGATAAATAAATAAACATTTTCCGCGTTTATTCAGTGCAAACTAGTATTACGCCTTAAAAAGTAATAATCTACTTTCAACCAAAGTGGAAAGCGAAAATGAGTAAAGACAACTGACACTATAAAGAAAATCGTATTTATACAAAAAATCAAAATGATCAAACCGGAAAAATTTGTTAATTTAACCCAGTTCATAAAAAAACTTAATAAAAACACAAAAATATAGGAGTGGAGAATGGTGATTCGAAAACTGAGAAGTGAAATAAATTGTATACTTTTATAAGGAATTCAAAGCGAGAAAATGTAGAGACGAGCCTTAATACCTGCTACCAAGGCAATAAAGATCGGACAATATATCATGATAAACTCGTTATTGCCCAAATGATGCAATTATCTCACTTAGGGATTGAAAACTAAAAGTAAAAAGCATTGTCTTCTTAGGGAGAGGGGAGCGACAGACTAACCTCCACGTAGTGCACTCAAAAGCAAAAAAATCTAAACTGTCAGTTGACTTCAAACTATAATGACCGACTGGTACACCATATTCGACCACTTCCATAGTACTCGCCTTACCCTTTGCTCTACCTTTGTATCTGATTCCCTTACATATGTGAAACGTTAATGGTAACTATCATTAAGACCTCAATTTGATATAAACAAATAAATCCTAGGGAAGAAGTGGTAATACGTTCAGCAGTAAGCGAAATGACATATAGCAGATATAACAAGTCAAAAACAAACCAAAACCTCAAAGAGGCTTAATATCAGAGGGACAATAAAAACAGTTCTCAGATATAAATTTCATAATGCGAAGAAAAGAGAACATCAAGTTAGGTATAAAAAATGAATTCCAAGAAGCATCATTGAGTAAAGCTAATAGATAGATGATAAAGATATTGAATCTTAAAACAAAACAATGGCTGACTGTAACACAAGAAGCATATCAAGATAAAAGAGACTGAGACAAAAATAATTAAAATTAAAATGGAATCAAATGAATTGCTTACGTTAATTTCAACCAAACAAATATCCGTGCCAGAAAGAGGCTAGCCATATGAGCTACATCAAGCTCCAATTCAGGTCCGCTACAATTCCAGTACCGGGCAATGAAATCTTGCAACAATTTGCGACGTTTTTCTTTAGTAGCTCTATCCCATTCTCGAAGGAGGCAGATCATATTATGTACAGCTATGTCCTGTCCCGCCGGAACCATTATTAAAATAGCAAATAAAAGGCAAGAAGACTACGCCGCAGAGTGAAGACAAGTTTACTACCAAAGGAAAAAATGATTAAATGGTTGAATCCTACTGCTCTAAAGGCTAAAATACTGAAAAAAGCGGGGCGCAAAAAAAACACACTTAATAAATAAAAGATAAGAGAGACAGCGTTTAGAGTCAGGAATAAAAATCAGAAAGAAATTAAAATTTTTGTGCAAACAGAAAGAAGATGAAAACGCGATAATGCTTAAAGTACGAAAAAATGGAACGGCATTATAAGTACCGCGCGGTGGTGTGCAAAAATCACAATTAAAGATTAAAAAAGGTAATTTAAATAAAATAAACATTCAAAGAAATGAAAACATCCATATAAATAGTAAATAAGAAAAATTTTGACTAAAATAGATTTTTAGTCAAAATATTAATAAGTAAAATACTTAAAAATTTAATAAGGTATCCATGATATTTAAATCTACTTTAAAAATAAAAAATTGAAAAAAAAAACAAATTTTTTCATCATGACACATAAAGAAAATTTAAAGGAGCATATCTAAATGTGATATCCATGAAGGGAACTGTCTTAGAAATCGAAAATATTTTCACACGACGAAATCGTTTAAAATGACCTTACAACAATATTAATAGTGTGCTTAGTGAACATCATCAGACGCGAGAAATTTTAATCTTCTTCTTCGTGAATTTTCAGATTTACCTGTACAAGCAAAATTTTGATGACATATAACTTCATTTCGTGGTCCTCATCTTTCAGTTAAACTTAACGCATTGATTTTAGCAATGAAATAAATTAAGTAATTCTTTATATTTTAGGGTAGTTCAAAATGTTGTATATTATGAACCAAAACTTAGTTGTTTCAATTAGAAATAAGTGAAGAGAAGCATAATCTCTAAATATATGTTTTGCTGCTTCAATAAAATTTTTTGAGCAAAACTTAACTTTCAATCGCAAAAAATGCATATTATTGTTAAAATATGTTGGTTTGTTGGCGTCCCATTCAAGTCTGCTCAGTACGACCTAGGTAGCGTCTTCTCCAGTGGTATGTCTAAAAATAGTTTGCTTCGTAAATGATTCAGTAACCTTTATAGAAAGTGAATAGTGTATGTTTGCTTTTATATGGGTTTTTTTACATTTTTAGCGGTCAAATGAGCTCTTCAGATCCAAATGAGGTTCCAGCATGCTTAAAAAGGCTAGTTCGGACTACCGTACGCACCTTCTATTCCCGAGAACATGCACTTATCATTGATTTGTTAGTTCGAAACACAATAATGAAGGAGGACGATCTGTGTGAACGATTGCGTTTCGAGAAGAAACAGTTGCGCCAAAATTTACACACACTCAAAACAGAGCAATTTATCAAGTCCAAAATCCAACTAGAAACCGATGCAGAGAACAAGATTGCTAAGATTATTCACTATTTTATTGATTACAAAGTTTTTGTTAACGTTGTAAAATACCGCCTTGATTTGATCCAACGCAAGCTTGAGGCTGAACAACGACAGAACACATGTCGTGCTCTTTTTCGATGTCAAAGCTGCAATAGTACTTACACAGATCTTGAAGTTGATCGAATATTGGATTTCAGCAGTGGTAATCTTATTTGTGTCTACTGTCGGAATGAAGTGAAGGAAGAGGAGGACAATGGACAGCGAACAGACATTCGAGCCAGTGTCGCAAAATTCCACCAAACAATTCGCGGTCCTCTTGATGCTCTGTTGAAAGAATGTGACCAAGTTCATCTTTCCTCATCTATCTTAGAACCTGAATTTCGTGCCTTAGAGCCGTTACCTGGGGTATGTTTATTGTTATTGTTTTTCATTGAGCTTAGCCTTCATCTGGTAAAAGATGATTTTTGCTAATAGGACTGCTCCTTTAGTGGTTTCCACGTTTTAACTCGTAAATTTAAGTGTTTTTTGGGGGGGGGGGACGATAATGAAATATTTAAGTAAATGAAAGTCCCATCTTCCTCGTCGTTTACAAATGCCTACAAGTGGATAATCAGTTTTGCCTAAAATTTTTGTGAGCGCTATCAACTTAGAATTATATCCTTTTTAAATATTTAAAGCTAAGTCATTAAGTGATTTGCGTAAAGTCCTTGAATATAGTATTTAAAGTATTAGTGGTCTTCAGTTCGGGTAGTATGTGAAAGGAGTCCTTGTGGTAGATTTGGTTTTTCAATCAATGATTGAGAATCGATATTATTACCACTTATTCGCGCTGACTCTTAATTTTCCATTTTTTGTAGTCCAGTACTGGGGATTCTGCTACTGCCAATTCTCGAGCAGCAAATTCCTGGCTCAACGACCCCTCCAAATCGTCAGGAACCCAGTCCACAGAAGTCAAGGTGAATATAGTAATGAACGACCTACAGGGATCCTCCAATGCACCTGCACCTAAGGAGAAACCTATCTGGATGTCTGTTAGCACTGTGGACGAGGGTGGGATTGGAGAGCTGAAAAGCGGCGGGCAAACGACTTCGTCAAATACCACCACTTCGACGTTTCCAGTACAACCTCCTGAACCTGCAACCCAAACTTTGGCTCCAGGTCGTGTTCCAACAAATCTAGTGGACAATTCTCGAGGTGGACAAGATGGTGGGCAGTCGTCGGCCAACTCGAATTCGCATAACTCGGCCATGTCCTCTGATATTATGCAACTTTTACGGGTTCATGAGCGACGGGGCTTGGAAAGTCATGGTCCGAAAACGGCTCTAAGTATGTTTTATTTTCGTAATCAGAATTTCAGGCCGGCTACGTTATAGGAAATTTTCTATACTCACTAATAGATGTTGCTCCACTTTGCAATAGAAATTTATTAGTTATCTTTCTTTTTAGCAGATTGGCTAAAAGTAGTTATATTATAAAGGTCTGGATCACTTTAAAATTATTCTAGTAGTTTTCTGCGTTTTTGTTTAGGGGGGAAGGGGGTTGAATGATTGCCCTCTGCGTAGATTTTTCATGAAAGATAAATACTGGGTATTTGGGCTACATCTCTTTACAAAATATTTTCTATTTGCCAGTTTGCCTATTTTTGCTGTTGATGTGGCTTAGCTCATTTTTTTGCGAGCTATTTTATACCTGAAGACATTATTAAATACGATTTCTAGGGTTTTGCCAAGGCTTATTTGAATAATAACAACTGGTAAATCGTTTGCATTTTCTAATTTTTTGTGAGTGGTAATCTGAGTTGTAATTGTTCAAGTGGCTTTGAAATTCTTCGATTAGGGCATGTGTCGAATTCATTTACGATTGGAGTTCAACAATTATATTAATTTGTGGTGAGGGAGCTGGGGGGGAGTGGTATGATTGACCTTAGAGTCGATTTTCATGAATGAATCTTTTCATCAATTTGTATTTTTAATCTCATGCATTTCAGACGTATCCAGAATTGATGAAGTGATAAATACCGGGAGGTTGTGCTACAGAACGACAATTTATTAATTTATATTTGATTGTGCTAAAGAGTATTTAGCATTCCTTCTGTAACTCACAACTGCGTCTCAACACTTTTACCAATACCATCATTTCAAAACATGTGTTATTCATAGTTGAGGTGTCAAATTAATCGACATGATTGGCCATTCGCTTTGTTTCATTTTAAACCGCATTTCATTTCATTCGCAGACACAGTCTATAATCTTGGCCAGAACTGATTAAATTATCCCAAATCAGTCGAAGTAATGAGAGAGAGCAGAACAGTGTTATTTAGTTCTTTGAAAATTTCATATTTTCCTTATCTTAACCGTATTCGTAGTGTAAGGACTAGTGATGTCATTCACTTATGTATTTATTTCCATCCTATCTCAGCTTCCATGTAACTTGGAGTTCTGTTTCTTCGAA